CCTCCTCCTCCTCCTCCTCCTCCTCCTCCTCCCCTTCAGCTTCCTCATCTCCTCCAGCATCCTCCTCCCTCCCTCCCCCTCCCCCAACATCCTCCGACCAGCCGGACGGCGAGGCCCAGCCGACCTCGGCCACGTCCCTGCGGTTGTGGAACGCGGCGATCATCTCGCGGGCCCAGGCGGGGCGGCGAGCGGGTCGGCCAGCTGGTCGGAGGATGGGGGGGAAGGGGGGAGGGGAGGGGGAAGAGCGGGAGGAGGAGGAGGAGGAGGAGAAGGAGGAGGAGGAGGAGGAGGAGGAGGAGGAGGAGGAGGAGGAGGGAGGAGGGAGGAGGAGAGAGGCGGAGCAAAGAGGAGAAGCAAGAAAGATGAGGAGGAGGAGGAGGAGGAGCAGCAGCAGACGCAGCACCAGTCACCAGAGAGAAGCCGGAAGAGGAAGAGGAGGAGGAGCAATGAGGAGGAGGAGGAGGAGGAGGAGGAGGAGGAGCAGCAGCAGCAAAAATCGGCTGCACGTGGGAGTGCCCCCAGGCAAGAGTGACATCTGGTGCACGCGGTTTCAGGGGGCCGCGTTGAGGGGGAGGGGGGGAAGGGGGCAGAGCCGATCAAGGACGCGCTGACCCAGGTCCGCGCCAACCTGGGTCAGCCAGGGCCATATGGCGAACCCAGGCCAGTCGCATAGAAGCCCTCAAACAGGGGCCCGCGGGTGGAAGGGCAGGTGAATCGGCCCCGCGTGGCTCCCAAACCCAAGTCGGCCAGAGGGGATTCGGCAGACCCGGGCAGGCGGTTCCCCCCGTTGCGGGAGCTCCGATCAAACCCGCGCAAGCTGGGTGCGGGGAAACCCTGTTGGCACACACAAACACGCACACACACACACACACCAAAGGTCACTCCGGCGAAAGCCTACTCTTGTGCGCAGCCAAGAAGAGCGAAGAGGAGCGGCAGTCCAGGCCTCCATCGGATTCGGGTTACAACTATACGTTTGAGCTGTATGCAACTTCGCCGGCCCAACGGGCCAGAGGCGTGCTAAGATCTCCGGTAAGTGCTCAACAATATTTCTAATTCGCGCGCGCGGGGCGGGCCCTGGGGGTCCCCGGACGAAAAGTACCCCGGCAAGGTCCCGGCAGACTCCCGGCAGACTCCCGGCAGACTCCTGGCAAGGTCACTTTTCGGAGCCCAGGAGGGCTCCAAACGGTCCAAGAGAGGCCCGAGAAGCCCTCCACACGGTCCAAGAGAGCCGGGAGACGCCGAAATATCGCTCCCAAGCGCCTGCGATGGCCTCAAGACGGCCCAACAGGCCTTCAAGACGCCCCAAGAGGTCCCTAAGCGGCGCCCGAAAAGGGCTCCCACTAGCAAAAATCGTCCCGTTCCCTTGACAAAACGTACATTTTTAACATATCCGCCTCTTCGTCTTTCACACCTTTCAAAGCGGTCCAAGAGGCCCCCAAGATCACCCCAAGACGGCCCGAGAGACCCTCAAGACCGCTCAAAGACGGCCCAAGAGCGCTCCAAGGCGGCCCAAGAAACCTTCAAGAACTCTTTTTCGGAGCCCAGGAGGGCTCCAAATCGATCCAAGAGGGCCCGGGAAGCCCTCCAGACGGTCCAAGACAGCCGGGAGACGCCGACATATCACTCCCAAACGCCTGCGACGGCCTCAAGACGGCCCAACAGGCCTTCAAGACGCCCCAAGAGGTCCCTAAGAGGCCCCTAAGCGGCGTCCCAAGAGGGCTCCCACTAGCAAGAATCGCTTCACTCCCTTAGGAAAGCGCGCATGTTTTACATATCCGCCTCTTCGTCTTTCACACCTTTCAAGGCGGTCCAAGAGGCCCCCAAGATCACCCCATGACGGCCCGAGAGACCCTCAAGACCGCTCAAAGACGGCCCAAGAGCGTTCCAAAAAGGCCCAATAAACCCTCAAGAACTCTTTTTCGGAGCCCAGGAGGGCTCCAAATCGGTCCAAGCGAGACCCGAAAAGCCCTCCAGACGGTCCAAGAGAGCCGGGAGACGCCGACATATCACCCCCAAGCGCCTACGATGGCCTCAAGACGGCCCAACAGGCCTTCAAGACGCCCCAAGAGGTCCCTAAGCGGCGCCCCAAGAGGGTTCCCACAAGCAAAAATCGTCTCACTCCCTTAGGAAAGCGTGCATGTTTTACATGTCCGCCTCTTCGTCTTTCACACCTTTCAAAACGGTCCAAGAGGCCCCAAGATCACCCCAAGACGGCCCGAGAGACCCTCAAGACCGCTCAAAGACGGCCCAAGAGCGCTCCAAGAAGGCACAATAAACCCTCAAGACGGCCCAAAAGGCCCCAAGACGGCCCCATGATGGAGGTCCACGGTCCACAGGGGCAACCTGCACGGAAATTTTGAGCCCCCCACCCAAACACGCCCCCGAAAGGCCCCTATAAGCCCCCAAGTAGCCCCACGAAGCCCCCAAGAGAGCCCCAAGAGGTCCCCAACAGGTCGCAAGAAATCCCCAATAAGCCCCTAAGAGACCCCCAGGAAGCTCCCAGGAGGCCCCCAAGAGGCATGACATACCCCCCCCCCCCAAAAAAAAAAAAAAAGAGACCACCAAGAGGGCCCCACCCAGAGCCATCCACGAGGCCTCCTAAAGTCCCCAAGAAGCTCCCACGAAGCTCCCAAGGGCTCCCAAGACCCCACGAGGCCTCCAAGAGCTCCAAAGAAGCTTCCCAGAAGCCTCCAAGGGCTCCCAAGAGGGTCACAAGCACTCCTCCTGAGAAGCTCCTTAATGCTCCCAGAAGAGACTCCCAGAAGCATCCATGAGCTCTCCGAGATGCCCCCTCCCCAGACCCTCAACACCCAATTTTTCTCGCGCCCCTCACCCTTGGATCCTTCACTGCATTTTCCTCCAATTTCGAATGGACGAGGATGAGTTCGGGATGGTCCTGGAAATGCGTGGGGGGTTCTGGAGGTCAGCGTGAATTATGAGAGGTTGTCGGTTGCGTGTCTTCTGTAAACGCAACCAACAACATGAATAATGGAAAGACCGCGCATACATCACCGATCCCCAAACGGCCCACCTGTGTATGCATTCGGCAACGCGTATGATGTGGGACGTCAAGCACGACTGGCCCCATCCCCCTCGAAGTGGTCGCCCTCGTCATCCTCCGTCCCCACCTCCTTTTACCCGCCCCTCCCTCCCTCACATCCCTGCCCCACCTACCTCTCCTCTATTTTCTCCTCTCCCCCCTCATAGTTCCTCCCAACTTGGGGTGGGACGGACCCCGGGCGAACCCTCAGGAACCCCGACAACACACAGGAATCCCTGCAAAGCTCCGGGAAGGAGGAGCAGCAGGAGGAGGAGGAGAAGGAGGACGGGGAGGAGGAGGAGGAGGAGGAGGAGGAGGAGGAGCAGGAGGAGGAGGAGGAGGAGGAGGAGGAGCAGCAGCAGCAGCAGCAACAAAACGGCCCACGAGACGCCCGAACGGCCCAAGGGAGCCCCAAGAGGGCCCCAAGAGGGACCCAAGAGAGGGAACACGAACCGACAATTCGAGACTTCCGCCGCAAATAGCCCCCATGAGGCCCCAAGAGGCCTGCAAGAGACCCCAGGAGGCCTAAACAGAATCCCCAAGAAGCCCCCCGACGGCCCCCAAGAGCCCTCAAAGCTGCCTCCAAAGAAACCCTCGAAAGGCCTGCCACGATATCTCAACGAACGTCCAAGAGGCCTTCGACCTACAACCCAGGCACGGTGGCGGGATGGGCCGGAAACCACTAGATAGCCACCTCGTAAGACAGTAGAGGCCGAAGCCCCCACAACAAGCTCCAAACAAACTGCTTCATCCCCATGCGTTCTGCCGCAACGCCTCTGGAAAACGACCACGGCCCACCATCGCCGCCTGGCTCGCGACCGCGCAAGCAAACGCCCGCGATGGCACAATACGGGCTGGCGGAATGAGCGAAGCGATTCAATAAATGTGCGTGTATGCAAATGTGTAACTGAATATGTGTGCATACCTACATGCACAACGATTACTATGCATAAATAAAGAAGACGCAGGGAGAACGAGAGCGAAAGCGAGAGCGAGAGCAACATACATACATACATCATATAAACACACAGCATAACACAGCACAGCACAACACAACACAACACAAGCATTCCTACTAACGATTTCTGATATATATATATATATATATAACACACACAAGATTCATGAACAATGAATCCTTACGTAACACCCCGCAAATGCGGATAGGAGTGAGTGGAAGGTGGGGAATCGGCAGTCTGCGAGACTCTGGAGAAGCCCGCCGCAAGCGCCAAAGTTTCACAAATTATACAACGAGCCCGCCACAAGCGCCGATTTTTTCAAGCCAATGTGGATTGGTCGCTGGTGGGTCGCGGGTGGGTCGCAGGTGGGTCGCGGGTGGGTCGCAGGGTGGGTCGCAGGTGGGTCGCAAGTGGGTCGCGGGTGGGTCGCGGGTGGGTCGCGGGTGGGTCGCGGGGTGGGTCGCGGGTGGGTCGCAAGGTGGGTCGCGGGTGGGTCGCGGGTGTGTCGCGGGTGGGTCGCGGGACTGGTCGCGGATGGGTCGCGGGTTGGGTCGCGGGTGGGTCGCGGGGTGGGTCGCGGGTGGGTCGCGGGGGGGACGACGACAACAAACAACAACAACAACTACAACAACAACAACAACAACAACAGCAACAACAACAACAACAACAGCAGCAACAACAACAACAACAACAACAACAACAATCATTTTACCCGAACGCGTGGTGTTCTCCCCAGTGCCAGGGTTTTCATACGACACCAGGCAATACCCCCACTTCGTGGGGGGGCATTACAAGCTCTACCAAATATCCAAACGACTCTTCGCGACCACCCAAACCCAGCTTCCCGCCCTATGACGTTGGGACACTTCACTTCGTGGCGTGCGGACGACCGTGGCTACTACACTGGCGTGGGGTACACACCCACAGAACCCAATGGTTTTTGGAGATTTCGGCGTGCGCGCGCGAAGAAAAAACGAATGTGTCCCGCATGGTATTATTTGACAGGGATGATGGCCCTGGCAGGTGCGCAACCGTTGTCGCAGAAGTTCGAAAAAGTTGCTCGCAAAAGCCCGTTTGACAGAAATGTTGAAAAAGAGTTGGGTTTCCTACGAATCCGCAAGAGCGCGCGGGATGAGATTTTGACATTTTTTTTGTTGAAAAACCATTGGTTTTTTGATGTTTTTATGTTGAAATCGCTCCGAACACTAAGCTTTTGGAAGGATTTCGTCTTGCACGCGCGAATGTCCACTTTACCTTATTTTTTGCAAGGGATTCTTGAAATTTGATTACATTTGAACAAGAAATTTCATTTTATAGTGTTTTTTGCAAGGGAAAGCGGGGGGGAACAAAAAACCGGATCCGGTGACAATCCACTTTTCTGAAGCTTTCGCAGAAAAATGATGAAAATGTAGCTGCGGCCTAGGTTTTGGAGGGGGGTCGTGCACCAGGGGTCCCAACAATAATTATTCTTTAGAAGTAATAATGTTCAACAACAACAACAACAACAACAACAACAACAACAACAACAACAACAACAACAACAACAACAATCATGTTAAGACGGTTCGCCCTTATCTGCTCGAGTGTCCAATAACGCGTATTTCCGAAACCCTGGATACCCGCCCTCTTCGTCTTCGATCGAACCCCTTTTGGGGGGTAGACCGTTCTTCCCTGCAGGCCGGGCCCCGGCAAGCGGCGGGGCGGCCGCGGACCGTCGGTCTGGCCAGCGGCGGCGCTGATCGGCGGGGCGGCCGCGGACCGTCGACCCGACCCCAAGAGGGACGGACAGGGGACCGACGACGACGACGACGACGACGACGACAACGACGACGTCGAGGACGACGGCGACGACGACGGCGACGACGAGCGAAAGCGAGAGCGAGAGAGAACGAAGAGAATGCGTATGGGGCCACGGAGAGCGCGAACGAGCGGGGGCCACGAAGTGCAGATAATGCGGGGCCACAAAAGGCAACTATGGGGCCACTGAGGGTAGCACCTGGGCCACGTAGGACAATGAGGGGGACACAGATGGCGACAGCGGGGCCACGAAGGGCATGCACATGGGGCCACACGGGCGCGACTCCTGGGTGCCTGGGTGTCGGGAGAGCGGCGCTTGGGCAAATTGTAAGAAATTCCAACGCAAGGCCATTCTTCAGTAAGTTGCAAGCAAGTCTCCAGCGAGAGCGCGACTCCAGAGCGCCAGGAGAGCGATTCCTGAACAAATTGTAAGGAAGTCCCAAGCGAGAGCGCGAATCCTGAATAAAATGCGAGGAAGTCTCGGGCGGGAGCGGGGGTCCTGGCTAAATTGTAAGGAAGTCTCAAGCGGGAGCCGTTGTTGTTGTAACCCGGGGACCAGGGGGCCAGTTTGACCAGGAAGACTTTCCCTGTCAAAAAACAGGGTGCGAGCGCCGAGGGGCACACCACACTTTGATTGAGAAAAACGATATGCACCGGTGGGGGGATCAACAATAATTATTCTTCAGAAATGAGAATTCAACCACAACAACAACAACAACAACAACAACAACAACAACCACAACCACAACCACAACCACAACCACAACGACAACGACAACGACAACGACAACAACGACAACGACAACGACAACGACAACGACAACAACAACAACAATCATGTTAAGACGGTTCGCCCTTATCTGCTCGAGTGTCCAATAACGCGTATTTCCGAAACCCTGGATACCCGCCCTCTTCGTCTTCGATCGAACCCCTTTTGGGGGGTATATCTTTCTTCCCTGGGCCCCGGCAAGCGGCGGGGCGGCCGCGGACCGTCGGCCTGGCCAGCGGCAGCGCTGATCGGCGGGGCGGCTGCGGACCGTCGACCCGACCCCAAGAGGGACGGACAGGGGACCGACCACGACGACGACGACGACGACGACAACGACGTCGACGACGACGGCGACGACGACGACGGCGACGACGACGAGCGAAAGCGAGAGCGAGAGAGAACAACAGCAGGGTCACGAAGGACACGAAGTAGGCCACGAAGAGCGACAGCGGGAACACGAAGGGAATGCACATGGGGCCACAACGGGCGCGAACGAGCGGGGGCCACGAAGGGCAGATAATGCGGGGCCACAGAAGGCAACGATGGGGCCACTGACGGTAGCAACTGGGCCACGTAGGACAGTGAGGGGGCCACAGACGGCGACAGCGGGGCCACGAAGGGCATGCACATGGGGCCACAACGGGCGCGAACGAGCGGGGGCCACGAAGGGCATGCGTATGTTGGGCCGCGGAGGGCAAGGACGGGGCCACTGAGGGCAGCAACGGGGCCACGAAGGGCACCGAGGGGGCCACGAAGGGCGACAGCGGGGCCACGAAGGGCATGCATATGGGGCCACCACGGGCGCGAACGAGCGGGGACCACGAAGGGCATACATATACGGGGCCACGAACGGCAGCGAAGCGAGGGGGCCACAGAGGGCTGCAACGGGGCCAAGAAGGGCTGCAACGGGGCCACGAAGGGCAGCGAGGGGGCCACAAAGGGCTGCAACGGGGCCACGAAACAAAGCGAGGGGGCCACGAAGGGCTGCAACGGGGCCACGAAACAAAGCGAGGAGGCCACAAGGGGCTGCAACGGGGCCACGAAACAAAGCGACAAAACACGAAGGGCTAGAAAGGGGCCACGAAGGGCAGCCAGATCCCGATTCCAAGGTAATCTGTGAGGGAATCCTAAGCGTGAGCGCGACTTCTGGGTGCCTGGGTGTCGGGAGCGCGGCGCTCGAGTAAATTGCAAGAAATTCTAACGCAAGGGCGCTATTCGACAGCAAATTGCAAGCAAGTCTCCAGCGAGAGCGCGACTCCAGAGCGCCGGGAGAGCGATTCCTGAATAAATTGTCAGACGAGCAGATCGGGCGGGCAGACCCTAGCGGGCGGGTCGAGAAAGCGGGCTCAGGCGACCAGGTCGAGCAGGCGGGCTGCCGAAGCGCGAGTCCTGCATGAATCGCGGGGACGTCTCGAGCGATAGCGAGATTTCCAAGTAAATCGCGAGACAGGCCAAAGCGAGAGCCTGATTCCTGAGTGTCCAGGGCGCGGCGTCTAAATAAATTGCGAGCAAGTCGCACGCGAGAGCGCGACTCCTGCATACATTGTGAGGAAGTCCCGCGCGACAACGCGATTTGGGAATACATTGTGAGGCAGTATCAAGCGGGAACCTGTGCTGAAGTAGTTCGGAGCCCAACAACGCAATTTGGGCAGGAAGACGTTCCCTGTTTTTTTGTTATTTTAACGTGCGAGAAAAAAAAGAAACAAAAAAAACGTGTGCGAGCCCCGAGGGGGACACTTCCATTGAAGAATAGAAGGTTCAAAGGTTCACCGGTGGGGGGATCAACAATAACTGTTCTGTCAGACTGCGAATCCAAAATGCCACCAGCAGCTGCTCCAAAAACATCAGTATTCGGAGGGGCCGCTCTCGAGCCTTCGGGCCATCGGATACACACCTGGTCGAAAAGCGGGCCCCCAGGGAAGGGATCGAAACGTCCGGGGCGCGGGCGGGTTGAACAAAAGCAGCCCGTCGGAGGTCCGTGGAGGAGGAGGAGGAGGAGGAGGAGCATCGACGAGGAGGCGCAGGAGGAGGAGGAGGAGCATCGACGAGGAGGCGCAGGAGGCAGCGGAAAGGGAATCCCACCAGCCCGTTCGCGCGTGAGTGGCCCTAACGAGCTCGTTGTGCTAGCCCCCTCCTTCCCATTCGGGGACCTCCTCCCCCCGCGAAGCGTCCTCGGGTCGTCTTTTTGGCCCCAGATGGAGCACCGCTGGCAAGGAACTGCCACTCATCCGTGGAAATTAGGCCGCACAGTACTGAGACGAATGTGCGCGGCACGAATGCGCGAGCCAGATATTGAAAAATACGGGAGCGGCGGCGGCGACTGCCGGTTACCGCTGCTGCCGCGCAGGGGGGGGGACGCACCAGCGGCGTCGCCCCGCAGGTGTCCTGGCGCGGGGGTCTGCGTCCCCCGCCCGCCCCCCGCCCACCGGCCTCGCCTTACAGCTGCCACCTGCCTCCTGCTTCTTCCTCCTGCCTGCCTCCTCGTCCACCTTTTTGACGTTGCGCACATTTGAACACTCGGATTATGGCGTTCTTGCAATGCGAAGAAGGAAAAAGGGCTGTGACGAGCCGACTTTGAAAAGGTGCCGACGAATTAGCGAAGCCAGAATAAAAAAGCTGGAAGACAAAAGCAAGACAGGCTAGGCAAGAGGCCCGAGGGCTTGAAGCGTGCAATGGCAGCGCGGCGTTGGGGGTAGAAAGGGAGACCGAATCGAAGAAAACGAACCAAGTAATCGAATGAGGAGGCACCGAACGAGGGAGAAGCCTAAAAACGCGCGCGCTGTAGCAGGCCAAAGGGCAACGAGATAATGCGCCGAATAAGTACATCGCCAAAACCCCCAACAATCGAAAGACCCGCCCAAGGTTAGTCAAGTACGCCGTACAAGGAAAACAAACGCGATGCAAGGCATAAAGCAGAATGAGAGCAAGCGAGGGTGGGTAATCGGTTGGGCTGAAAACCATAAATACGAAGTGGTGCTGCGGTAGTTGGTCCGCAATGGGATTGGCCCTGGACGGTCCTTCCATATTTACGTGCCAAAGTGGCAACTAATAGCATTCATCAATAGAACACCGCGAGAAAGCTTAGAATATACATTGGCGGATAGTGAGCGGGCAGCTGACCTTTATCTGTTCAGTTCTGGCAGACTGGCCAAGAGGGTACTGGCTGGACTGATGTGGGCTGGGCAGCGCGATGCTTCAGACTTGCTTAGGCTGGCACATCTAAAACCACTGGCATAAAAAATGGAATGTCTGAATGGCAACTAACAACATCCAGGGAAAATGCCACTTGCTGTGTCTGGCTGGCCTGAGTTAGGCAACGAAACGACCTCCACCTCCCCCGCCACCGCCGAACCCTGTATTGCCCCCCCCCGTCCCAATATCAGTCAGGGTCCCAGTATCAGTCATTCTGGTGCAAGAGGCTGGAACAATAATTGGGCTGCTGGTGCAGTCGCACTATGCTGTGGCTGGCTGCATCGGCTGGGATTTTACTACGAAGTCCTGGTAGGCTGGCCTGCCTGGCACCTGCTGGCCTGGAGGCTGTGCAGACCAGGATGTTTCACACTTTCTGGGGTGGGGGGGGGGCGACATCCATGCGTGCGTGAAAGGACTACAAATCATTCACGTATGCATGTCATACAAAAACTGCAGACTAGGATGTTCACGCATCCCACGCCCAGATCGTGCCTACATGATCCATCCGCAGTTTCACGCGACATCCTAGGATTGCTGTGCAATTTCTGTATGACGTGCACGCGTGCGCCCCGACACAGCAAGAAGCAGCGATCCACTCGCACACGGGGGCGCGCACCCGAGAGAAGCAGGCTCGAGTGCCAGCAGCTCGCGCGGACTCGGCCTGATCGAGCTTCTTCTGCCCGGGCGATCGCCCACGCGCAACAGTCGTCGCCGCCCCGCCCGCGCCGCCCAGGAGCACCGACGTTTCGCATCAGAGTTGCTTCGCGGGAGCGCTGGACGCAGAGGTTCTTTGACAAGCACCAAGTATCATGCTCCCGTCGACGCTGCAATCGCAAACGATTCGACCAGCACGAATTCGTTTTCAATGCTTCGGCGCGTGACACCCTCGAAAACGCACTGGGGCGCAATGCGCGTGAAGCAGCGAGCGCGCACTCAACAACTCAGCGCGCTTTCGACGCCAGCGCGGGGGCGCAACAGCTCGCGAGAAACGGCTGCATGGTTGAGCCCCGACATCGGGGCGCTGACCGCGCGAAGTGCCTGGGGAGCAGGCGGGGCAATGCCCAAACGGACCGCCGTCCTCTTCGCCCTCGTTGTCTAAAGCTCCTCGTCGCCCTCGTCGTCTAACTTCCTGGCGCTCTTGCTTCGCGACCGGGTTTGGGCCCCGACGCTCTTCCTCCTGCTCCTCACGCTCCTCCCCCCAATTCCCGCGCACCCCCTTCCTATGGCAGTTTTGACAAAGTGGCCAGACAAATCCTGAGCCCGACGATGGCGAGGAGTAGGAGATTTGCTCACAGGACAGTCTTGAATCATTCTCGACTGCTTTCGGCCTCCAGGAGTTTCCGGAAGCTCCTGGGGCGATTTCTGCCGTCCTTGGGCGCTTTGGGCCGTTTTCGACTGTTTCTGGAATCCCGAAGCTTCGGGCAGCTTCCAATCGGCGGTGGGCAAACCTCCCTTTAGTAAACCTCCCCTTAGTGGAGAGAAAAAAAAAAAAAAAAAAAAAAAAAAAAAAAAAAAAAAAAAAAAAAAAAAAAAAAAAAAAAAAAAAAAAAAAAAAAAAAAAAAAAAACACGCCTGGGACCGAAACCGACGGACCTGGACCTGCAAAAATGACGGCCGCAACGCCATCTCGCGAACCGAAAACGGCCAATTCGCCAATCGACGTGTCAGGGTAGGAGGTCTACCCACCCCCGATCCGAAGATTGAGTTTCGGGAACTTTTGGGATTCCAGGGGCCTCCAGAAGCCTCTCGGGACGATTCTCGGCATCCGGGCTGGCGCAATGCAGGGCCGCCGTGGCGGGACGAGGGCGCGGGGGCGCCGCGCGGGACTGTTTTGGCCCACCCGAGCTCAAGAAGTTCTGGCGAAGCCGTCGCACTACTCGTTGCTCCCCCGCCGTAATCCCCCGCACGTTGAGATGTACACTCATCATCGTCATCATCATCATCATCAGCACCATCATCATCATCAGCAGCACCATCATCATCATCATCCTCATCATTAGTAGCATCATAATCATCATCATCATCATCATCATCACCGTCATCATCACCATCATCACCATCATCATCATCATCATCAGATTCATCACCATCACCATCATATTCAGAGTCGTCATCATCATCATCACCATTCATCCTCATTCATCACTAAACACCACCCTTCACTATTCACCATTTGTCATCATTCATCGTTCATATTCCGTCATCATCATCAACATCATCACGTCCACGTCCACGGCTCCGGGGTGTAGCCGCTGCGCGACTCCCGGACCAGCAGGCGGTATAACCTCTATGTACAACCTGAAGGATGGGGAAGCCCACAGCGGCTGGCCCCCTCTGCCGCCCTTCTCCAGTTTGCCCCCAGGGGGGGGACGCGGGGAGCAGGAGCCCAGGAGGCCAGAAGAGGAACCAGGGAGACCGAAGAAACCAGGACGAGAACCAGGGGGCCCGAGGAGGGGGAAGGGGAGGGGGGGAGGGGAGCCCGACCAGAGAGTGGCAGGGGGGGGGCAACCATGGGAAGAGGGAAGACCGTCGCGTCTCGATCGCGTGTACAGCCCCGCAACAAAACCCGCACCAGCCCACACAACGACCGCCCGAGGCGCGCAACACAATAGCGGAGGCACATCGAGAAAGGGGTGCGCCCGACCCGGTCCCCCATGGAGGTGGCCGCAACAGCGGTGAGCACCACGCACAGTGGCCCCACTTGATGCATTTAGTCATACCGACCCCTATTGGGGGGCCGACGCGCCAAGAGGCCCAGAACTGCCAGGCTGTATGACGCTCCACCCTGGGTCCAGGCCCCAGGAGGCCCGAAGGGGAGACCCCGCCCCCTGGGACCCCACCCACGGGGGGAGCGTGACGATCCAGACGTTCGTCCTAAAGAGAGCGCCCGAGAGACGAGATTCACGGAAACATCACCCACAAAACAATTTCACTCAAAAACACGCCACACGTTTCTCCCCGGCCGCGTGGGGCAGGGGGCGGCTGGCCACTCGGTGGAAACCGGCGACCTGGCGCAGATGGATGGGGCAAGCCCTTCCTTATGCCGCCCCCAGATGGTCGGGGGAACCCGCCATCGACAGCGCGCGGTGTAGAAACACCAACACGGGCAGCGCAGCCAAAATCCGAAACATGTTGCGCGGCGCTCGTGTCCCCAGACGCTTCGTGTTCATGGACCCCGCATTCCGTTACCAAGCTCTCGCCCTCTTCATAGCTGCCCTATCCTGTTCACTCCGCGCTCCCATCTATGTTGGCCCTTATTACCACCTTCTGGTTTCGATGGGTCGTTTTAGGACGCCCACCCCGCCCGACCATGGCCGAAACCACCGCCGAGTGAGACCAGCGCCCAGGGACTGCACACCCCGCCCGACCATGGCCGAAACCACCGCCGAACGACATGTGCACACCCATTTGACGGTGCGCCTAGACCAAGGGCGTCGCCGTCCTGCCACCCCGCCCACCATCAGGGGAAAGGTCCGGAGACCCAACCGCCCCTGATAGGTGTTTGGACGAAGTGGGTTGTACACTCCCGCCCCCGAACAATCAAATGTATACAGTGATAAGCTCGCAAGTGCCAGTGGCCAGCGACCCAAAACAATAGCAACGAACCTAACACCACCGAAGGCTCAAGAGGGGGCGCCCCCGGAGGGGCATGGGTTAGCCGTGTCCCCCCTCCACCAAACCCTACCCCTTGACCACGAAAGTCCAAGCACACGAAGACCCGTGACCCAGCACAACAGCGGCGAGGGTGAAGGACTAGCCAATCCCGCAGGTTAGAGTGGGGCTACCGACCCGCCTCGGTCAGTGGCTCCCCCTCACCCCTGCCATGGCTAGTCTTGCACACTCCTCCTGTGGTCCGGGATGGGGTCCAGTGGAGGGACGCGGGACACGTTGTCCCAGGTGCGGCCGTGTTCAGGTAGAACTGGAGGCCTGTGTACCTGCACCTGATCAACATCATCATCAGCAGCAGCAGCAACCATATCATCATCATCATCATCATCATCATCATCATCATCATCATCATCATCATCATCATCATCATCATCATCATCATCATCATCATCATCATCATCATCATCATCATCATCATCACCATCATCAGCAGCAGCAGCATCATCAAAATCAGCATCACCATCCACCATCATCATCATCATCATCATCATCATCAGCAGCAGCAGCAGCATCATCATCACATCAGCAGCAGCATCATCATCGTCATCGTGCTGCCTCCTCCTCCTCCTTCTACTCCTCCTCCTCCCCTCAACTCCTTGTCCTTCTAAAAACTCCTCCATGTCGCACCCCGAGGCTGGTCGAAATGGTGGACCAGGCGTTTTGCATGAGCCTCCCACAGCAATCATGGCCCTGAAGCTTTAACATCGGCAACAGCTTCAAATATTCAAAGATGGAGGGCAAGTCGTTTCCAAAATGCGGCTGTCGCAATAGCGCTGCGCACATTCGTTCCAAAAAAACTGCAGGAGCTTCACGAATTGAGGGCGACTGGTTTTCAAAATGTGGCTCTCGCCTCAGCGCCGCGCACGTTCGATTTGACCATTTGCAAGAGGTTCACGAATTTTGAGAGCGGGTGGTTTTCAAAACATGGCTCTCGCCTTAGCACCGCGCATATTTTCAAAAATTGCTAGAACTTCACGGATTGAGAGCGGCTCCTTTTCAAGATGTGGCTCTCGCCCTGGCACCGCGCACACTCGTCTTGAAGATTTGCCAGGATTTCACGCATTCCCACGATCAACGTGCCAGAAATGATGTTGTGAAACGACTCCGGAGTGTAAAGGCGCAACAGTTTCGTTGATTCGCGGTGTTGAAGTCCCAAGAAAGGCGTTCTGGCGCAGTTCAGGATCGTCAAGAAACAACAACCACGTTGCCTTGACGGGGTTACAGTCCAGATAATGGTGCTTTGGCACGCTTCAAGATTTCACACGGTTATCTCCCAACGAGGCAGTTCCCCCAGTGGAAATGAACCCTTGTAGGGGCCTATGAAGAGGGAGCTTGGATGGAGGGTTGATTCCAACATCGTTCATAAATCTTGAGTTTGCACTGGTCCTTTCCCTCCTCCTCCTCCTCCTTCTCCTCCTCCTCCTCATCATCATCATCCTCCTCCTCCTCCCCCGAAGAGTACCCCCGAGGCAGCCTCCGCAAGCGCCGCCGCCCCGCCCCCCCACCGCGCCTTCCTGCGAGCCCACGGCCACCTCGAGCCCCAGGAGCTTGGCGGCCAGGCGCGCATACCCGTCCTCCGAAGGGAGAGGGGGCAGGGGGGGGGGAGAGGGGGTGTGTGTTCGCGGCTGCCGACAGGGCTGGCCAGACTGGCAGTGAGGGGCAGCGACGGGGGGGGGACCAGCAGGTCAGGGAGGAGGAGGAGGAGGAGGAGGAGGAGGAGGAGGAGGAGGAGGAGGAGGAGGAGGAGGAGGAGGAGGGAGGAGGAGGAGGAGGAGGAGGAGGAGGAGGAGGAGGAGGAGAAACCATCGACCCAGCATCGCCATGTGCGATCAGGGGTCGAGGCGTCCTCCCCCGAGCCCGTCTCCGCCCGAGCGTGGCCCCCGAACGGCTTCGGGCTGCGCAGGGACCGCCTCGCTCCGATCACGGCTGGCCTCGGCAGGCCCCCTAAAACAGGGCTAGGATCGGGATAAATCGCTCCAGAGCGTTCCAGAGCGCTCTCAGAGCGTTCCGGAACGCTCTGGAGCGGCCGCGGCGCCCAATACATCCTCCAAACCCGCCGATTCTCAGAGACTTCGAGTTATCCCGATCCGATTTTGTCCCGATCTTCACGTCGTCTTACCCCCCGACCGGCCCAGGGCGACCTCAAAAGCCCTGGCGCTGCCTCCAGCGGCGCCCCTGGGGGCGCTCCGGGCCCTAGGGCTCGGCCTGCACAACCTCTATCAAGAGGGGACAGACATCCAGGGACCCCCCATCACCCCAGTGTAAAAAAATCTGAGGGGGGGTCGTAACCAAGGCCCCCCCCTTCACCGAACCTCCCCCCAGGAAACTTATGTCGGGGGTCCTATGACCCCCTGCCCAGGAAAATTACTCGATGGGTCCTGACCGTTCCACCACTCCTGGCAACGACGACGACGACGACGAAATCCACGACGACGGCGACAACTTTAGCGGCGGCGGCAACTTCAGCGGCGGCGGCGGCGCACCTGTCCGCCAGGCTCCGGATCTGAGAGGATGTTACTAGGGCTCGGTCCAATTCACAAAACCCAACTAGGGTTCGTTCCAGCTCTAACAGAATCCTGCTATCAGGGCTGAATCGAGCTGTAAGGAGGCCCAGTTAGGGTTCGATTGAGATCTGACATTATCCTACACAGGCTCAATCAAGTCTTTAAACCACTAGCGCTGAATCTAGCTATCTGAATCCAGCAACAATGGAGTCATCCTACCATTCAACAAAACTGCAATACATTCCTACTAGGGTTGGATCCCGCTCTAAACAAAAACCAATTCAGGCTTGGCTTGATCCAGATCGAACAGAATTCTACTATGCTTGAATCTGGTTCGGGACGATCAAACTCGAATAACATCCCACGGAGGCTGGATCTAGTTCGAATTAAGTTCTTATAAGGTTGGATACAGCTAGTTATACTGGAATCATACCACGGCTTGGTCCAGCTCTAACAGACTGACAGAATCCCGTTACGGCTCCATCCAGCTTCAATATCAACGTTCTGGGGGGGGAATCCAGCTCTCTCAGAATCCTTCCGCGGCTCGACCCAATTTTGATGGAATCCTACTGGGGCTCGATCTAGCTCTCACAAAACCCTACTACGGCTGGATGATCCAGCTCTACAAGAACTCTACGATTGTTCATTCCAGCGCGAATAGAATCCTACTACGGCTGGGTTCAGCTCCAATTGAATAATATCAAGGGTGGATCCAAGTCTGACGGAACTCGACTCAAGTTCGACCCAACAAGGATGCCTATTCTTTTGAAAGTTACATCCAGCCCGGATCCCACCAGCTCTCTGGGCGTAGGTGGTTTCGCGTGTCTCCTCTTCCGTCCTCCCCTCTTCCCCTTGGGGAAAGGGTTTGCCCCTCCCCCATACCCCATCCCCCTGGACGTGGACGGCGCGCCCCGCGACCCACTGGAGCGTCCAAGATGGCCCAAGAAGACTCCAAGAGGGCCTCAGAGAGCCCAAGATGACCTCCAAGAAAACTCAAGATAGCTCAAGATGGCTCACAATAGCTCTGAATAGCCTCCAGCGTGACCCACGAGGCTCCAAGACCGTCCCAAGACGGCCCCAAGTAGCCTCGGAGCACCCCCAAGAGAGCACCAAAGAGGCCCAAACCCTCCCAACACCTGAGGACGAATGGCAATCAATGTTGCTTGCGGTCTCGGCTTTTCGGTTATGATGGCTTTCCGAGGCGTCAAGATGGATCCTAAGTAGCCCAACAGGGCCCCAAGAGAGGCCGAAGAGGGCCCCAAGACGGCCCCAGGAGCGACCACGAGCGCCCCAAGAGCGCCCCAAGAGGGTTCCAAGAGGCGACTTTGGGAGCTCCAGAAGGGGCGATGCTAATTGAAGTTCCCACCTTCTTTGAGCGACCTCCTCCAAGTCCAAGATGGCCTCAAGAGGGTTTCCAGGGCTCCCAAGAAAGCCAAAAAATGGCCCCAAGAGGCCCGCAGGATGCCCCCCCAAGCGGCCCCCAAGACGCTCCAAGAGGTCTCCCGGGATGCCCCGAAGAGACATCCCAAGAGACTCCGAGAGGCATCCAAGAGGCCTCTGGCATTATGTTCGCCCTCCTCCTCCTCCTTTTTTTCCCCCTCCTTCTCATGTGCCTATTCCCTCTCCTGTTCCCTTCTCCTCCTGCTCTTCCTCCTCCTCCTCCTCCTCCTCCTCCTCCTCCTCCTCCTCCTCCTCCTCCTCCTCCTCCTCCTCCTCCTCCTACATGTCCTCCTCCAGCCTCCTCCTCCTCCTCCTCCTCCTCCTCCTCCTCCTCCTCCTCCTCCTCCTCCTCCTCCTCCTCCTCCGCCTCCTCCTCCTCCTCCTCCTCCTCCTCCTCCTCCTCCTCTTTGAAAGATAACAGCTGCCACCCTTTCTTGCTCTTCACTTCCCTAAATCACCTCAACTCGTGTGTGCATCGTTTCTGGGTGTGCTGGTGGGAATACTTTCTCGGTCGCGTCCGCTAGCGAAGGCGCAAGCGGAGTCAGGAGCGCTACGGGTCACGACAGCGGCCTAATTAGCAGCTGAACGCGCCGCAAACCCGCCGGCCCACTCATACAGCAGCGGCTGACTGCGCGGGAGGAGCGGCAAGCTGGGGGCGTCCAGGGTGCTCGAACCTTGCAACACGGCAAAATGCTGGTGAATTCAAGATGTGCCGAGTGGCAAAACCCGAAGGAGCGTGAGGACAATAGCTGTGGGCTGCGTGTCCAACATGCCGTCGGAGTGCCCAGACGTGGTAAGCGATGGGCCGTCGCCAGCGGGGCGCCAAGCCAAAGCCGCGCCAACGGCATGTGCGAGCCAGCTGAGCTGCTCCGCCGAGGAACGTCGAATACCAGGCTGGGGGTGGGACGGGCCCGGGGGGGCGGCCGAGGCTGCGAAGGCTGAACCACTCGAAGCGGGCTGACCTCCAGGGGCCGTCAATCCGCGCAACATGAGGAGCCACCGAACCTGCAGGGGGCCACCCAAGCACAGCGGCGCAGGCGCCGGCTGAAGCGCTGCGTGAGGCCAAGCTGGTGGGAGAGAACATCGCCAGCAAGGTGGGGCGTCCAGGGTGGAACTGCACGGCAGCTGCCGCCTGAAGTACGCCGAAGGCCACCGTGGGGCTGCCTTATCCGCCGAATCCGTCATTCCCCGCAGGGATCCAGGGTCTCCGTCGAATCCGTCATTCCACGCGGGCGTCCAGGGTCGCAGCTAACCGCCGCTGAAGGTGAGGTAAAGTTACCGTTGTCGGCGGGGGTGCTGGGCAGCCCTGGGGTGTGGGGACGAACGCCTCCGACAACCAAGGAAACAAGCCTGTCGGCAACCCAGCCTTGGGGAGACCCGGGGGGAGGGGCGGTGGGGACAGACATCACCGACCCCCCACGCGGAGGGGCCCCCAAGGGACATCCGGCGAGGGTGGGGCGCAGGGAAACGACCACCCCGCAGTCCAAGGGCAAGTGGACGTGGCCTGAGCCCGGCCCGAGAGGGACCCGAGGAGAGAGGCGGTGGGGACAGACATCACCGCACCTCGTACGGATCCCAGGTGCACCTGGCCAGGGGACACGACCGCCCTTCCCCGAGGGGCATCTAGGGTCGCAGCTAACCGCCGCTGAGAGGAAGGTAATACCGAGCGGACGGTCTTTCGTCCACCGTTGGTGTGGTCCAGGGTGGGCAGTCTGCAGCCAGTGGACTGACTCGCTGAAGGCAGGGCTGCCACCGCGGAGGCCGACGCATCCGTGGGGACGGTGTGTGTTGGTTCATCCAGGGTCGCAGCTAACCGCCGCTGATGTGTAGAGAGGAGAGCGGGTCGGACCCCAGGGCGAGGCCGCAATGGGCCGGGGAGAACGACGGGGGGGGAGGAGCCCAGGGAGGGTTGGGCCCGGGGTCCGAATTTTCGGCGGCGCGGGCGGTCAGCCGCGGTCCGCTGCCTCAACGCTCCACTGGGGCGTACGGCAGCAGCGGCCTGGGGCTGTCTTCCTGGCCGCGCGGCCCTCATGCCCCAGGAGCACGGTGTGTATGATCTGGCGCCTGCGGCGCGACAAAACTGAGACCTAGCTAGGTCGAGCCAGCAACCATGCAGGAAGGGGGGATGCTGGGGCCCACCTCCAGCCCAGGGTACCGCGGGGCAGGCTGTCGTCATCGGACAGCAAAGTCTGGGTGCCTGGGGGTTCTGCCGGCGTGAGCCAGGCGTGGCCCCGCAGGGCAAGTGAGGGTGAGATGCCGGGTGCATGCGGGGGATACCCCAGCGGCGGGCCCGAAAAGGTGGCGGGTGGTCCGCTTATCCAGCGAAGGCTGTCTAGCTAAGCTGCGCCATGGGTGAAATGTGGGGGTGAGCCTTCGCCCCAGCGGAGGGTGGCCCCGGGTATTACGGCCTGAGCCGGGCGCAGCGAGGTGAAACAGGCCCCTTCAGGGCCACGGGTAGCTGGAGGTGGGGGGACCATGGGTCCTCTGGTGGGGATACGCGAAGCGCCAACAATAGAATCCGACTAGCGGTGAATACCATAATCTTACGAGGGTGGCTTTGCAACCACTACAAACCACCCCAACCCCACCCGCAGACCCGAATTTCGCCCGAATTTCGGGTTGGGGGGGGT